ACTGATGTTTTTTGCTCCAACTGTTAATCTCTCCAGTTTTACAAGAGAGCTGAACTCACTCCCCAATGTCATGGTAAGAAATCTGTTAAAGGCCAAGTTTAGCACCAGGAGGTTCACTGTGTGTAGCAGGTATTGTTGACCTGAGAGGTTCTTGAGATTGTTGTGCAACAGGTCCAGATGTTCCAGGAGAGGCGTGTCAAGAAAAGTCTGTGGATCGATTGCCTCCAAATTATTCCATGACACATTCAGGAACCTAAGGTGAGTGGTTTTTTCAAAGTCTCCATTGTGAAGCTGACGTATGTAGTTGCGAGAGAGGTCTAAAACCTCAGTCGTCTGTGGCAGGTCAGTTGGGACAGAGGAGAGGTTTTGGGATGATCGGTCTACAAACTGTCAGGCGATGAAGCGCTCTTCTGAAGTCCCACCAACACGGCTGCTGTCCAGAGTACGGCTGCTGTGACCCTCATTGTAGCCTGTATAAGAAAATATAGCCATTAAACGGGTAGCATTTGTCTGTGTGTCATTCTGTCTGTAAATATAATAGCTCAAAATGATTTGAATAAATTCTGATAAATGTTTGTAATGTTAAAAAGTGGAGTCATGTTAACAATACATTATTATTTGGTTACATATACCAGGGTTATCAAGGTCAACTTAATAATAATTAACAATATTGATCAAAAATTGAAAAAAAGGGGATTCTAAATATCACGTTACCTTGGATGTCTGACACTGAAGAAGAAGTCAGAAGATATGTTTAAAACTATGTTTAATATTCTACTGCTTTTGTTCGTATTGCCAACACTTAGGGGAAGATACTGATGTTGTGGGATTTTAACGATCACATTATAGTTTGCGTCCAAATATCATTGCAAATTTGACCTCTGATCTCACAATTACATTTCACATCTGCCTTTCTTTTCAAGAGTTTTGGAGTCAATACAGCATTGACTCCAAAATGCATATAATAATCATGCTTGGAGTCAAGTTTGTGAGATATATACTGTAGTTATAATGTCATATAATAGGATTAAGTGATTTGTGTCCAGTCATTTGCAAATAACTAACTTTATCACTAAACATTTAAATGAATTTTAATAAACAACAGAAATAAATGCCACACATGTACTGCACCCACATGAATACAGATAAGAAAAAAATAATTATACTCAAAAAAATGTCACGTATATTAAAATGGGTTTCAAACGAAACAAATATATGCAAAACACAATATTATTTCCTTAAGAGTAAGAAACTACCCAGAGAGTGAGCTGCTTTGGTGGAGGTTTGCACTCTTGGAGTAGTTTTTGTTTAAAATAAATGCTGTCTACCTTTTTGGTGGCTACAATTCTCAGAAACTGCTGGGGAGAAGTAAGGATTTGACTTAACGATCACTTTATAGGAAGCAGTGTGTAACAGTATCCTTTCTAAACTTGTTTAAATAAGACAGGGTTGATAAAAGCACAAATCAGGTTTTTATCATCTGAGTGATAACAAAAATTTGGTATTTGGAAATCATCATCATGTGTCTGTCATGAATAAATAAATGTGTAAAATTAAATAAATGGCTCTAGTAGCTCATCGGTCAGATGTCATGCAAATATAAAACAAAGTTTTTGTTAATTGACAGATGTCCCTTTTTCAGAATTGTCTGTAGTAGATAATGAAAAAATAAGAACTTTTCTCCCATTTATTTGTTGATCTATCAGTTAATGACTCTGGTGTAGTATGAAGTACCATGGTGGAGGCCTTTATACAGCTGACATTTCACAGAGCCACCCGGTGTGATGGATTGGTGTCTTTACTGGGTCGATTCTGCCCAGAATTTGATTTTATTTATTTCAATCTAAATATTAAAATAAAGAAAATCCAAAACCACATTTATATTAATTCAAAGGAAAACACAGTTTCATTCAAAGACTGATAAGAGTCCACTAACCTGTGTTGCTGTCTGATGGTCATGTTTTGAAGTCTCAAGTACCAAAAATATCAGAGTCACAATGGTTCAAAATCTCTATATGGGAAAAGAAATGGAAATCAGTCAAACAAAACTGACTGATAGAGGAACATGTAGCAGCAAATGAAGTCTGGCTCAAATGTGACCAAAAGGCAAGCATCAGCACTGAGTCAACAGTTGCTAATATTAGTTTCTAAGTTACAGTAAAAAAAAACCATGAAGCTGTGCATAAACAGGCACAGAAATAAAAACAAGTTCCCAGGCTCTTCATCCTCTTTTACCTTCCCTTTTTATGCAACAGTGCATTTTATGGAGAGAAACTTATATGATAATGTATATTAAAAAAAATGGAGATAAAGTCCAGAAATTGGATTCAGTGTATATTATTGCCTTGAGGAGGGTTTTGCTCCTGGTCTCTAGACACATTTTTGTTTGTTTGTTTGGTTTTTAACACACTTTTTATTGTGATGGGGAAGCTATGTGTGTGTGCAGACAGATGAACAGACACACACTCGCATTAACCCAGTTCCGAGCAATGTTTTTACTCTGGCAGTGCCAATCTTGCCTTGGGTCAGCGACTGCTACGCAAAAAGCAATAGGAGCTCAATTGAATATCATCTTATAAGCCAGTGTCACTAATCTCACCTGGCACAGTTTGATCAAATTCTAAAAGAACACTGCTGATTCGGTTATAGCAGCTTCTGGCTATAAGAAAACAGAAAACTGTCTGTCTTTGTACAGCAAATGTAGTTATTTTGTCTTTTCATAACACTTGATTTCATTTGATATGTGAACATGTTTCATGTGGGTTTCATTATCATGATGCCATATTTTTCTTTTTTTAATTTGAAAACATCACGTTTTGCTAATTATGTGTGTGTGTAAGG